CCAGAAACCTTCACGGGGCTTTCCACATTACATTCTCTTCCTCCCTCTGCATAGTGACGCCTTCCTCCCTGCTTCTGTAATGAGGCTCATTCTTTACATATACTTGTTATTAGGTTGGTATTTTTATGGGTTATTTAATAAAAGGTGTTGATTTTACACCTTTGTACTGGACCTGTTCTTTTCACAGTCTTGGCATTTGTAAGTCATTAACGGCTGAGCTTTGGAGTTCAAGCAGAGGTTGAGTAGGTAACATGGGAATCTCTTAAAAGGTGATAATTACTCTTTTTTTGCTCAAATGTTTCCCATCTAGACAGGAAGTGAGAACCTAATCCCACTCATAGGAAGAATTGTGCATATGTTTTATTAGATATGTAAGAAAAATTCAAGTGTATTTCAGTGGATCCTGATTCTTTTTATGAGTTTCTTTCACTAAAAATATAAAAGCCAGTAGTCTGGAAAAGCAAATAGTCCATTGTCTGATTCACAGCAGGAATTATTTTTCTTAAATGCTAGAATAGGAAGGACTGTTTCTGTGGGAAAGGCATTTCATATCTTGACTATTTTCTACTAGGTGTCAGTCTGTATTTAAGAACCTGCTATAACCAATAAGTACTTCATGCAACCATTGACACAGGTTCTCATGCTGAAGAAATCTTTTAAAATGATTTGAAACAAACATTCCCTACTATCGCTTTGTACAAGGTTTTTCTTACTGAATCAGTGGACGATCGCATGAATGTCAGTCGTATGCTGGGAAGAAAACTATTTTAATTGTTTTCTGATTTTTTTTTTTTTTTTTTTGTTCATCCTGCCAGACATCTGGACATCGTCTGCTTTATGACCTTTTTTATAAGCCAAGGCTCTATATGAATCCAAATAAATAGATGATTTGTGTTAAGCTGCTTCCTAGGTAATTGCATATAAAAATAACTTTTTTTAAGATGAAGTAAGATGAGCTTTCCAAGCTGACTTTGCAAATTTGAAAAAAAAATTCTTGTTCAATTATCGGTCAACCTGTGATTTATTAAATGTATTTGGACAGTTGATCTTAGCTGATACCACCTAAATAGATCATGCTTGTCTTTGACACTTGTAACTTTTTAACAAGACAATTCTCATGCTTTGGAACATCATTGAACCACCGTTAAAAATCAAAAACATGGATCCTTCCGGCTTACTGTAATTTCTCGAACAGATCATTGGCTACAATCCAGGCGTCAGCTAACAGGCAAATATGGCGCCCATGGGAGCCTTCCAAGGTGAAAGCAACTGACCAAATTTCTGCCTCACATGTTGCAAAATGCATCTTGATGATCCTAAAGACTTGGGAAAATATTAAATATTATGCGGTGCAAAGCAGACCTACCTATCTACTCCTAATGATTAACAAAACAAAACAAATGAAGGCTTTAGACTAGAGTGACCTAGTCAAAGATCAGGTTGGTTAGTTTGGCTTCTTGTCACTTAATTAATCATCCTTTTAAAACCACTTTTTGGATTGATTAAAGTTATTCAATTTGTTCTTTCTGAAACATTTACAAACACATATTAAAAAAAAATTATATGAAGTTTAATGTTTTTTTGTCACTTACTTCAGAAAATTAAACTCCTATTCGAGATAGAAATATTTAACTTTTTAAATTATTTGAATTGTAACTGTGACAAAATGCAAAAATAGAAGAGATCTGTAAGAGAAGAAAATACTTTTTCACACTTTTTTGATGTCTCTTATAACACCAAAATGCAAAAATGGAAGTTTAAAGTTAAAAAGGCTTTAAGATGTCTGATGTAAACAAAATCTGGTGCTAAAGGATCTGGATAAACTTGGACTCAAGATAAGTAGTCTCTACCAATCCACATAAGGTTTGTCTCTTCTCTGACGTCTCTTCTCATATCTGCGTTCCTTTACTTTTTCTCCATCTGTCAAACCTTCATCTTTCTTGCAATTTTGTCTTTTTACGCTCTCCTGTCTTTGAAACCGACTTCAAAAGCTTTTTGTAACCAGTCCAAATTTCATTAATGCAACTTTCAGGATTTCAAGAGTTTTTTTGTATTTCATCCACTTCGCTGAAAATCTTTTTTTTGAATAATTTACAAAAAAGACCAAGATTAGAATGAGGAATTTTATTATTGAGGTCAAAGGTCAAAAGATGAAAAATGTTTTCTTTATTTTTTTATTTTTTTTACTCCTATTTTGAGTCTGCAAACTCACAAGCCAAAAACATACATGATATGCTTTTGAGTTTAGTATTGTAATGCAAAACTATGCAAAAAAAAAGAAAAACTTTCTACTTATTATGCATTAGTTATTTTGGAAAAAAAAAATACAATCGACAAGTCAGACAACAAATATCGACCTGAAAATTTCTTCAAAACTCAAATTTTCTTATTAACCTTTTAGTATAATGTGAATACCTTAACTGGAATTAGTACAAGTTATGACTCTTGTGATCAATGTCTTTAAAGCTCACTAAAAAAATTTAGTGAGCTCTTAGTTATTTAGTAATAACGTGATTATTACTTAATGTTTAGATCTATTACTGCCAAGCTACAGCTTAATGAAATTGGTGCCGTGAAAACAATGTTTGTATTGTGTAGATTGCACAGGTAATGTAGAAGCAAAAGGAAAAAAAAACACATAAATAAACTAATCTATGGAACAATTGGTAAAATAAAGAAGAAATCAATATGATTTGTCACAGATCTTCAAAGTATACTTGGCTCAGGTTCTGGTTTTCCTCAGACCTGCATATCTGCTCCAGTTTGAACAGTTTGCTTCCTTTCACAGACATGAAAGAACTATTAGCAAGCCTCATTATGTTGAATGCCAAACTGCAGAAATGAAACGAGGTCCAAGGTCCAGGTCTGCTGTGTTCACTAATAGCTTGATGAATGGAAAGATAAAGTAGATGACTAGTTTAAACTCTGAACTGGTTAATAGGACTGCAGAGTTGATGTAATAAAGTCTGACTGGCATGCTAACAGGATAAGCCAGAATGTATTTTTTTTCTTTGTTTGAACATGTTGCAAAACCCTTCACTGTTTTTATAATATTAAAAAAAATCATCACTAACCTGCTTATTCTTCATGCATCATAAAATAATTGGAGAAGAAAAAAGTTGACTTTATGGATTAAGCATGAAAGTTACCACATGCTGAGGTGCATTTACTGTATTATTATATATGAGTATGTAGAAACTGTTCCACTTTTAGTGACTAATCATAAGAGACAATATATCCGTTATTCTGATCAGGCTTATCAGACAACACTAATTAAATACCACCTCTGCAGAAATCCTTTGCTGGTATCTGAATGAGTCAACAACACATCTGAATGAGCTGTCTTGTGCTGTCTCATTACAAATCGGAGTGTCTCTCCATCAGATGCTTTCTAAATCACTGCAAAGTAACAGGAAATATATTCACTGTTTGCAGTTTCATTTTCATAATAAAAGGGATAAGTGCTGTTTGAAACTATGTTTACCATTTTGTCAATGCTACGTGCATTCTCAAATGAAAAATCTAAGACGGGATATTTACGACTTAGAGGTAGTAGGTACACTAAATCATACTTTCTTTGTGAAGTTCTTGTTCAAAATACACAACCAACCCCAAAATGTGTTGGTAATTGCATATAAGTGTAAAAATAGTTTTGTTTCCAGTAGTTTAGCAGATTTATTATGCTTAAGTGTTGCACATCTTTTTTATTTCTCAGAAGAGCTTGTAATTAATTGTGGATGAATTTGATTGTTTCTGGTTACATGTGAAACATTTTGCAAAATTTGATTCTTGAAATTCAGACTCTCAGATATAATATTTGAACGTAATATTAGGTTGCTCTTATCAGTAAGATGTGCTACGGGATAACAAAGGTCCTGTCCTATGCATTTGTCAAACCACAGTGGCTTGAGAATATTGTAGCTACATTTTTATCTATCAGATTTCTAAACACCAATCCCTTTTAAAGTCACGTCAAGTGGACTCGCAACACCACACAGATGGAACTCATGACAAGTTTTTCTGCAGTGTGTGGAGTTGGCAGCTTCTGCAGCCTTGGTCTTCCAGGAAATCCAGCCAGAGTGGAGAGGAAATTAAATATGTGTGCGCCTATGTGTATGCCTGAAATTACGTGCCAGAGGATTGATTTGAGCTGTCAATGCTACGCTCTTTATAGCCTTTAACTAACTGTGCCATTTGTTTTAGGATTTCATTTGTCACCCACGTTTCTGACATCCTTCTATAAGTGGTGGCAATGGAATTATGCATGTAGATCACTTCTGTGGCTACTTTAATGGGTGTAATTCATTAGGCTAAGTCAATTAATGCTTGTGCTTCATTACAGACATGAGGATTTTTAAGGTCTTGTTAGTGTCTGTGATGGTCCTTAAACTGGAATTACTACCATGTTGAGAGAGACATTAAAATTAGCACTGTCATTTTCCCAGAGGCTTTTAGAACTCATTATAATAAAAAGGTTGCTGTAACACTTTAAAACGTGAAAAAAAGCTATCCTATTAATTTAAACTGATTGGGAATGAATACCAAATTTCAGTTTGAAATAGTACGTGAGATTCTCTCAGAAAAATGGCCGAAGCTGCTGAGTCTTCACTTTCTGCCTGGTTTCTTGTCATATGTTTTTTCTGAGATTCTTGAAAAAGCACTGACAGTTTTGTTGCAGTTGACATGTAGAATTAGTGAAACTGGACAGAATCCATTTTTGACCCGATGTTTTTCATGAGCTCTTTTAAAAATCAAAAGTAAGTAAATGTTCCAAAGATAAATACACATAATGGCTGGAATCATGCGTTGGTTTATTTTTTTAATTTTGGAAGCTCTAATTGTTTATGTACTCTTAATACCAGCACATTTTTTAGCATGTCCTTCATTTGAGGTGTTAAGTTTTTAATATTTTATTTCATGAATGACTCATTTGCAGTGTTAGAGGTTCAGTTTTATTACTGCACATTCTTTGTGTTAAAGTCTGTCTCTTTTTATTTTAGGTTTGCCGTCATACTTTGAGATATTCAATGTGAATTCCTGGCTGTGGTGACAAACTGAGTTGGTGAGTAGAATTTGTGGGATTCAGACTTTTTGTTTTTGAATTTCATATATATTCTAAAGATGGGAATTTATTCTGTTGCATTTTGTCTTCAACGGAGAAAGAGCTCAACACAAGACAAGTATATCTCAACCTTTTATAATCTGAGCGCTATAAAGTCATTTTTAGCAATGATGTATTCAGTTGGTTGGATTGAGTTTCGCTGGGATAGACACAGATCAAGGCAACAATGGGTTGGAAACGCCATAATGAAGAGAAGAAAGAAACGTGTTTTCATTATGACTGATATCTTTACTATGATATTCAACAATATTATAAGTGGCTAATCCAATAACCTAATATCTTTTTGTCATACTAACCAGGGAATGCATTTTCTCATACTTGAGTCATACTTGCATTTTCTTTGTTTCAAGTATGAGAAACAAAGGCACAAAGTTTGTGATAAGTTTCATTGCTTTTTATCTTAAAATCCACATGCAGCAATTTAGACAAAAAAATTATTGTGATTCCAAATTATTCCAAAACGTTTTACAACTATTTTTCTTACATCTTGGTTGAACATATGTCTTGACATTAGAAGGATATCAATAACAATCAAGCTATGCACTTATAGATGAAAGTGAAGATATTGCTGAATAGCTACATAGGGGGCTAAAAATAATACAAGAAACTAATAGTAATAACTAAATACCAGTGACAAAACATCATGTAAAACAAAAACACAGACTTATTTGCTTTGAAGTGAAACTAGTGAGTAGGCGGCTCTTATCTATGAGTTTGAAACAGCATGTTTTGTTCCAGCAAATTCTTTGCTTCCCTCTCCCTCTGTGTTTCTCTCGCTTCTTTTTCTTTCTCTCTCACCTCCTCCTCCAGCCAGCAATGCTGTTCACCTCCCACACAGACTGACACACACACAGATACAAAAACTGCTATCTTCACACATGTATAAGGGGGATAAGGGAGGAGAAAAAATGAAAAAGTCTAAGAAGGGTTAAACAAAAACACCAGGGAGGAGAAGATGACGATAATGGAAATGGGAGTATGGCTCATAATTAGACAAGGATGTAACTGGAAGACAGTGGGAACAAATTATCTGCTAAAGAGGGGTGGATAAAATACGAGGATTTTGTTTTAAAAAAAGACTAAGATCATTTGAGCTTTGAAAAGCAAACGTATTGAATATTTACATTAGTTAGATATCCTACACAGAAATCACTTTTTGATATTTGATACAAAAATATCAAATGTCAATTTTTAGTTTTTATAAATTTTTTAATCATCTGAAATTGTAGGCAACGGGTTGGACATGGAGGTTTAATAAAATGCTTTACACAAACCAGAATTGATCACAAAACATTATTAATAAAATTTTTCTTTTCAATACTAACAGATATTTACAATCTAATATTTACAAAAAATGGTATTTGCTTTTAAATGGAGACATCTTACTCCACCTACACTACACCAGACTCATCATCTAATAAGAAACTAAATAATCAAGAGGAGAGTGAGCGAGCATATGATGAGCCACCGTAGGTAAACACACAGCTGAACATGTGCGAAGCAGTACCAAGTGTTTGTGTCCACATCTGTTCATGCTGTGAAGGTGTACGGCCTACTAAGCAAATTACTTGAGTCGTGATGGCGTTCTGCACACTCTTGGGGCACAATGTTCCTATGCAGTCCAGGTCTATCTAATCCCTTTCAACAAAGCAGTCACTTAGCAGGTTTTGATCTTTTCCAGGCAAGCATCATAAGTCAAAGACAAAATCAAAACGAGCATTGAATTATTAAATGATTAACAGTGGTGTCCAAACTTTACTTCTTTGTTGTTGTGCCTATAATAATTGACTTCAGCGCATAGTTTACTTTGCCTAGTAAACTGTTTAAGTTGACTAGTATTAGATTATGATTTTTGATCAATTGGACTGAGGATTTAGATAAATTGCTTATCTGATAAATTAATAATTTTACCAATTTGTGTCAAATGTTGCCTGCAATTGTTGACTTGAAGTAAATGTCAGAGCTCCACAACAGCGTGACTTGGGTGTTCTTTAGTTTTTACTTGTATTGCAGTGTCTTATGTGACCCACGACCCAAAGCTTTTAGACTGTGTGGTGTGGTATTGGTCATTGTGCAGGTCACCCATTTTCTTTACATCTCTTCAGTGTCCACTTGAAGTCAAACATATTTCTTGTGTGCCTGTTGACAGCGCCTTTTTACTTAAAATTCTTTTCCCCTTTCGGGTGGAACACCTAAACTCATAAAAAAAAGTCCCTACCAGGTAATACCCATGTGATATAGCAAATATATCACATGGGTATTACCCATATTACTACCCAGACAATTTACAAAATATGCATAAAATATGTATTTTAAGGTTGCCAGTGAAAGTCAGCAAGTAAAAAAATTGAGCTTGCTTTGATTGCTTCCATTTTTTGTCTTGATAACGGACTTATGGGAGGTTGTGTATTGCATTCCACCCAGTTCCAGTTTTATAAATAGTTGGATGTTTTATAAAAGAATGAAACAAACACCGCTCTGATGGAGTGACTACTAACTTACTTTTGCGCATCTATCTCTTTCCCACTTTTGGTCGCAGCATCTCATATCCGCTCACATACTCTCACATTGAGTGAGGAATCAATCCTTCTCACTTCCATTATCTCTCTCCCTCCCTCCGTATCTCTGTCACTTGCTCTGCTACTTAATTCTGGCCATTCTGTACCAATCGAGTAGCTGTGTTGTGGGCACAATTGAGTCCCACAGCAATCATACCACGTCCTCATTAGGCACCATCCAGTGGTTCGCTTTATCCAGCTTCATCCCTTTCTTTCGGTAATTGGGCAAAAACCTTTGCCTACCTGTCAGCTGCAGTCCCAGTGCAAATGATGCAATTTATTTGACTGTGTATAAGAGTTGACAGTGGCCTCGATGTAACCTTGGGTCAATGCTGTCCTGCAGTTTTCCAGCAAATTAGTGCATCATTGTGAATCAGATCTTACTCAGGACTGTCGCCACCTTTGCCAGCTCATAGGTAATAACTGTGGTCACCAGAGAGGGGATGCATTTGAAAAACTTAAATGTTTCCTGTTTGAGTTAATTTATTTTTTGAACCTTTTGACAATATATGCTGATTTATATGCTGAGTAATGCTATTTTTCTTTGTGAAATAAAACAAATAATAAATATGCAGGCGTACTTGTTTGACACAATGCATCAAGCGATCTTTAGAATAACCTTGCATAATATTTTGAACACTATGTGTAATTAGGTGCAATTCAGACAGGTTTTTAGGTGTATAATAAATTCCATCCATCTTTGCAGTAACTCTGAAACAGAAAACAAGATCTGCCTCTATTTCACCCTCTGTCCATCTACAGCATTTAGAACCAAGTGTTTTCTGCTTTTCGGTTTTTCTTATGCGTGGGTAAATTGCATCTTTATTGCAAAGGCCACAAACTCAAGATGCTCACCTCTATAGAGCTTTTAGAAAAGGCAGAAGCTGTAAATAGAAAAATACAACATGTAACATTTGTAAAAAAAAAAAAAAAAGAGCAACTTAAAGTTGAAAGCAAAGATAAACACTGAATCAATGCACACATGTTTCTCAGTGAAAACGGGATGTGTTAAGAAAACAGAAGAGTAGTGCTAAGATACCGTAACACTTGAGCTGATTATTTTAGTAGTCTTGGAAATTCACACATACCCAGAGTTAATTCTTTGAGGCTGACTGGCTCACCGGTGCCCTATTCGACTTGTGACTTCCTCAGAGGAAGCAGGAAGTGGCTTAGATGTGTTTCCTGTTGGAATGTGAGACAACTTCCTTGGCAAAAGTACATGCTGGCACACTACACATTATATTTATGTCTTTGTCGTAGAGACTCTTTCAGAGTGTCTTCATCACTTTTTAAAATTTGTCCTCTTCATTTATTCTTAGAAACACCTTTTGCAGGTGGTATGATGATTGGGATTATTTTAATAAGACACAAGAGGGTGATACTCTGACTCCTTCAGATGTTTGATTAGCATAATGTATTGCTCAGTGTGTGTTAACATGCACAACTTTATGTGATGAGCCAAAACAAGTAAAATTTGTTAGGTTAGTTTTCCACTGCACATATTATCGGACTATGAATATGCTTGGAAAACACTTCACATTCAGTTTAGTGTTGCACAGATACCTTTCGTTTATTTTTCTTAAATTATTTTTCTTATTTATACTGTGAGTATAAATAATGGCTGCTGGCATTAAACTTGCCCACATAAGAATGTCTTCTTGCAGTCACCGGAAGATCGATTTGTGTGTTTAAATTTTTTTACCTTGCTTTGTAATTGTTGAATTAGTTTTCAGTTTTTACTTTTAAGACCCATCCTGTGTTCAATTAAGGCTGCAAGATGCCAATATTCAATGTTTAACTTAAGACAACAAAGTCTGGAAATGTTTATTTTATGTTCCGTCTTGCACATTTTGCTGCTTATTGTCCTCTTTGCACAGAAGACTGATCTGCTTTCGCTCTCAATCCTTCTCCCTCTGCTCATACTGCAGCCCTGTTCCAGCTCACTGTTGCCCACGCAGTGCTGTGCCATTTTGGAAATCTGCAGCTCTCTTATAATGGCAATAATCAATGGTTTTCTCTCTGCAGTTTATCCAGTTACATTTCCTTTAAGGATTTGGACTAAAATGCATCCTAAATTGGCAATTACAAATAAATAAGGAGTAAAGCATTATCTGAGTATTGTCAGTATAATCGAGTTGAGAATGACAGACATGATGAAGTGAGGCAGTTTTTTGTCTTGGAAAACAAGCAATTATCTGTATTTCGGTGTGTGTCTCTCCTGTTGTCTTGCCTCATTTCTGAGGAGTTATGCAACATTTTGCAGCATGTTAGTGGATTTAGATTCTAAAGTATAAAGTTCTTCTATGGCAAAATATTTGCTTGTACATGTTAGATTTCTCTATACAATGTGTTTTACTTATTTAAAACAATTCAGTATATTTA